GTATGGAAATACATTCCAAAAACAAATGAAACTGAAAATTATCTTTTGTTCTGAATTAACTATCTCCTTTGTTACACATAATTAAGAATTTGGTATACTAACTATTCTCCAAGTTCAAAAATACATCTTTTCCATGCTTCTACTAATCAAGCAGCATATATTTATTAAGTAGCTATAGCAGTTCCTTGCAATATGCTATATACCACAGAACTGGAGCAGGTGAAGCAACTGCAAAGCACTCTGTAGGCTGTGACAGAGCTTAACACGAAGTTAAGTGCAAATGAGACTAAAAGCATAGTGTGTGAGTTTAATTATATGCCATTTTTAAAAATGGTGAAGTGTTAATAAGCAGAGGATATTGTACTTTTAAACCACTTCGATGAAGAAATAAAATGCTAAGCTTATTGGCATATTGTCTGCCTGAAAGAAATGTTTACTATGTTGACTTGTGTGATCCTCTCTTGGATTCTCTGATCAGGCACGTAGTAAGACATACTGTAGTTTTGTTTAATGAGCCAAAGCATGATTTGCCCTCTAGTGACATATTAAGGTCATAGTTAAAAATATTTTCCTATGATTCCTCATAGATCACACAAAATATGATTCTGATACACTTGGCAATTCATTTAATATTAGTTGTTAGTTGAATAAACCAAAGCTCATTACAACTCCCAATTAAAAAAGATTTGGGGGTGTGAGGTTATGACCCAATGTATGTGAAGTTCTGGGTTTAATCATCACCACAGGCATGGGGTGTGTTGCATTCCCAACTTAATTACATTGAAGAACTCAGAATTTAAGATTTGAAGTGAACAATCAACTTATAAATATATCAATAGCTTTGTTCAATCTTGGAATCCCCATTTTATGAGGTTTAATAGTTTAAACTCATTGAGTTTGTTAAAAATGATGAATTGGTTAAACATATTGAAGTACTATATGATGAGGCATATGTTAGGTCATCTAAAAAATCTGCATAAGCATTCATAGATTAGTACATAATTGACACATAGATTTTGCCTTCTGCTCTATTTCATTTCCCTTATGCACACATGTATTTAGTTATTCTTGTAATGCCTGCATATGCCTCATGTACAAAGCATAAGAAATTTGAGTTAAACTTAAAGATGACATGCATATTTCCTCTCCAAATCTTACATTAGAAAGCAAAGTCAACAATATATAGGATAATGTCATAATAAATTCAGATAGCCAATAGGCAATTCATTCAACTTAGTAATGAAACCTAGTTGATCCACAGAATTTTTCTCTCTATATAGTGCCATATACATGGTTGTAGTAACAGTTCAGAGCAGGGGAAGATCCTTTTGAGTGAAGATTTAGAAGAAGCTTCTAGGGGAAGGGTAAAGGACAAACACATCAAAGCCTCTGTCAATTAAAAAAAAAAAGTGTTCAAAAAGTCAAGTTGACCATGTGGCTATGAGAAGTGACAACTTTTACTAGCAGAGTGACAATTTTTACTAGCAGAGAGTAACAGCTAAGTTTCAAATGATTGAGAATACTGGTCTAAAGAGTTCCATCCATATTTGTCAGGTTGTCATTGCTGTTCTTCTCTGTTTCCATCTATGAGGTGGTGTTTCCACATGCCAACTAGGTGGTCCAAGTAAGTCAGAACTATTCCAGTATTAGAAAGTTGCAGATACACAAGTGTGTGTGTGTGTGTGTGTGTGTGTGTGTGTGTGTGTGTGGTGTGTTGGGGACAGAAGAAACAGAAGAATATCTCATTCCTTTCAACAATATATCCTATTTCCTTATAGTTTTTAGTGTAATGCATCTATGACTATCTTTGCTTGCACAGCTTAGGAAAACTATACTATCAAGTCTACTCTGAAATGTTCTGTAATGAAACCATCAGATAAACTGTGTTTTACAAACCAAAACAATTGCCAATGCATCTTTGACTCTCACACCAAAATCAACACAGAATACTTTTGTGTTTCCTTATATTCACACAGGGATTTCTCCATTCTAAGCAGAAAGCAATTCTGCACCAGCAATGCTGACATACAGTAGTGAACAACAACAATGTGATCCTTACTCTGGAGTCATTAACTTATTGAAGAATGAAATAAACATTAGACAAATGCATATGCCTGTATGGCAGAAAATGTAGAATAAATTCATAAAGAAAGCCACTTCCATCAACCAGGTTTCTCCCCAAGAAGTTAATCTTTGAGCTGAGAGGTGAAATATGGATAAGAATTAATCCAGTTTATCAGAGTGGTACACTCCTATAATTTAAACCACTAGGGAGACAGAGGCAGGAGGAGTCACAGGCCTGTCTGGGGTACAGTTATTGTTTAGCATGACTGAGGTTCTTGGTTCGATGACCAGCACCTAGTGGAAAAAGCTTCACTGAACAACCAGACACTAGCTGCTGCTTGTTGCAGATACTTAAAATGTTTGGCAGTTTTGAGTCTCAACAGTTAGATATTAAGTAGAAGTTCCAGTGCATATAGTTTCTTGTTCATGGTCTTACTAGATTTAAATTTCTAGTGGAATTTTAAAGTTGGAGGTCTAAATCTCTCAAGTTGAGCCAACTACTGAAGACATTCTTTGTTTGAGAAAGTCCACTGACATCTCCCTCCACCCCAAGTTGCTTTTACTATTACCTCTGTATTGAGTGTGGGTATTTATGAAAAACTATGTCAGATTCGTTGGAAAACCTGAAGCAGTACTAACCCTGTAGGAGCTGGAATTTTCCAGTTAAAGAGGTTAGTATAGATCTAGTTATTTATCCAGACTGAACTCTGTAGCCACCTGAGATTTGCCTAGTACTAGTTTACATAGAGCTTAACTATAATGGTTTCCTCTTTCAACATTTACTTTTTGATTTAAACAGCTTAATGGAGGACTATAAAAACACTGGATCAGTCTTTCCAAATAAAAATGAAATGCAGTTGTCATGGGTTAGTCATACTAGAGACATCAACTCTGCTACCTGTGTGCAGTTTAGTTATTAAAATGATGACTTTTTTAATACCAGAAGATTTGGTTTTAGATTGCAAGGGCATGGCTTTGAGTTTTCAATTTGTTAAAGTGTGCCAACTGTTTTGATTGGTGATAGAATTAGGTTTGAGATAAAAGACTGATGAGATTTGCATTATTGATACTTTTTTAAAAGATTTAATTTAATTAGGATGTGTATGACTGCTGTGTGGGTATGTGTACATTCATGCAGGTCAGGATAAGGAATATGACCATGTCTGAAAACTTCAAAAAGTCAGGATTTAGGAATAAACCATGTGGCATCACTAAGTGTGTGTGTGACTTCTGTTGTCTCACACTGCTTTCAATATGTGAGTTCCTTGAAATGCACTGCTTAAAACAAACCAAACAAAAACAAATAAGCATGATCCTAATGGAACAAATAAGGCTAGTTGTTTTATTTTTTAAAAAAACATTTGTTTTTCTAATGAAACTGTGTGTGTGGGGGGGATTGTGTACATCTCTGGTATTGTGCTTGCCTGGGTTCCACCTCTGAAAACACACATGTATACACACACACACACACACACACACACACACACACACATGTTGAATCATTCTCAGTGACTTTTGTTCACTTTTCAAACAATATTATTTGGTTACCTATGAACCAAAAATTATGCTCCAGGCTTGAGATCTAATGTGGAATACTTTAAAGTGTTTGCCCTGAGGGTTTTATAATAAAATGCTATATATTTTTTCCTTTTTAAAATATTTTATTTCCAAAGATTTCTTTCAAGCATTTTGTGGAATTTTATGCATATGCATTTCCCATTCCCCTGTATCTCTTTTCATACACCTTGCTGCTTGTGTACTTGACCCATATATCCTCTAGATTAAAATAAAAATCCTTCTACAACTTGGAAAGAACAAATACTGGCTGTTTTCTTCATTTCTTTTCTCTAGATTTTTTTCTCTGGCTGGGATCTGTTGGCAGCATTTATTTTTATAATGGACCTTGAAAGTGTGAGTTTCATTCACTCTCAATTTGGACAGTATTATCTTTATGTGCAGTTCCTGAGAATTAGTGCAATGACTGTCATCATCCTTGTTGGAACATTGCCAGGACATCTGGCAAAGATTTCTAATATATAAAGCAAGCTATGCTATCTCCATCTGAACGAATGGTTCTTTGGTGGCTAGATACCCTATAACATCTACACTCATGCAATTCTCTGCCGTGATCAATTTTTTTCTAAGTGGAGTGAGAAAAAAGAAAATTTAGAAAGAAATACAGGGCCCATCCTTTATCTTGATAAAGCATTCACATTTCGGTGAAGTATAAAACCAAAAATATGATTATAAATACGGCCTTTTATGTTTTCCTGTTGGTAGGCATTTTCTTTCACCAGCACATGCTTTTAATTGCCAAATCCATTTCGGCTTTACTTTAAAGAAAAATTACTGCAGTTTGCTGCATCTGACAGTTGTGACAGGCTAATTCTTTGAGCTGAAACAGTGTACATGAAATGTGATTTCTCTTGGTTTCCTGAAGTATAGCAGATCTTATTTCTTACGTCCTTTACTGTAGTTAAGATTCCATGGCACAGAAAAGACTTCTTGTTTTGAGGTTTCAAAGTATAGCTAATTTACAAAAATAAGCTTTCCAATATCTGCTATCAGTCCAAGAATTTATGTGTTTCACCAGAAACATGCACATACAAAGGAACTGATTCTCTTACACAGGATGCTGCCACTCAGATAGAATGTAGAGTTGATTTGTATTATAAATTAACTCACCAATTATCGATGGTTCCATCTGACTTGTACGCATTAAGAATCTGCAGTTTCCGAGTTATCAATAATAAGAATGCTGTGTATGAAATGTAATGGGGTGCGTCAGCTGAATCCGAGTTAAATATTGCAGTAAATGTTGCTCAGCTTTGCCATCAGCAGTGTCACACACTCTTTCTGCATAATATTTTAATTCATTAAACATGTCTTTTTTTCTATAAGAAAAGAAAAAATGCAACTTACTCTCTTTATGATGAAAGACCTGTAAGAACAAGCCTCTAACCATCAGCCTTTTTCGTGTCCTTAGTCTTAGTATAACTTTTGGGGACTTTGTGCCCTCGTTAAAATGAACAGTAACAGTCTTTAGAAATAAGAACATGCTCATCTCCAAGTCTCACTGCTAAGAAATCCCATTAATTTCTCATACTAGAAATAAATTTGGCCCTGAAATAATATTTCTGAAACCTTTTTCTCAGAAGCAATGATTAAATAAAATAAGGACTTGATTTTACTAAATGGAATCGAAACCTCACAGTGTGTCAATTCCTGCTTATTGAAGAAGATAGTTCCTGGTGTATAAAGTAAGTACTCCATATGCATAGCATATAACATAGAAAACTTGAACCCTGTTGCTATCCTTTTGTATGTTAGTACCATGGGGCTTAGAAGACTTAAGTAGAAGCACACTGCCCGAAGTTGACCTCCATGAAGTTTCTCTGCCTGGGAAGATCTGTTTCAAAATGCCACCCTCCACAACCAAAGAAAGTAAGCTCTTTGCTCCCTTATGGCTTCCAACTCTAATAAAACTACTAAATTAAAGGCCCTTGGGTGTCATTTAGAGCCATCTACCAAATAAACTATTGTGTCCTGAAAAAGTTAAGCACTTTAGGCCTGGCAGTTTACCATAATTGAAGAGTTAAAAGCAGAAAATATGCAAGTTCTGATTTCTGGCAAATTTGTGTTTTCCAGTGCTGTTGTTGGCAGCTCCCTATGTTA